CCCCCCCCCCCATCAACGCATCTATGGCCATACACTTCCCACGCCCACAAAGAATAACATTCCCCACTTCCCCCGAGCATGGAAACGCACTTCTACTCGAACCAAAACAAGAGCTGCTGTGCGACCACGGCACGCACCTTGGGCTTGTTTGTGGAGTCGCTGTGCAGGTACTCCAGGCCGCTGCACATGTGAATCGTGGTCCTAACTCGCAGCCGCCAGCCAAGGCGCGACCTCAAAGCCGGGTCATCCAGGTGATGCCGCAGGCTGGTCGATTGGATAGGGTTCGAGGGATGCGGCGGCAGGTTTTCACATGCGTGCAGACAGTAGGGACGACGGTTGGTTTCGGGTTATAGGCTCAAGTATAGAAGTGTATATTTGGCTTTTCCGACCGCGGCCAGCACAAGAACAAGAGCGATCACGAAACAGAGGGTTGGGAAGCAGGGGGTGACTGGCCGATCGATGGCGAAGGTGTGGTGTGAGGGCGCACCACCGGTGCCAACTCGCGGGCGGCGGGAGCCAGAAGGGGTGGTGCATGCTAAACAGCGATAAGGGGTGCGCCAAACAGCTGGTGTTCTGTTGGGTTCCGGTTACAGACTCTCCCGAATGTCACCGACGGGTGAGGTGGGGGGGCTCGGTCTCAAAGCTGCGTACGGAGGGTTGTCGGAGAGACGACGGGTGGTTGGGTACAGGATGTTTACCACACGCGAGGCCTTCGTCGACAACCAGCGGAGCGTTTCGAAGTCAACCCAACCCATCCACCGTGTCCTGTGGTTCTCGACGCGAACGGCGTTCCCGCGCGAGCCTGTCTCTAACTTGCGCCACCCAACGTCTACCTTACTGAAGGCCGCACCACACGCAAAATCACAAAAAAGCACAGCGGCCGATGGATTGCGTACATCTACCTGTTGTTGGGCATGAGCCGGTAGACCAGGCATGGAGGCTCCATGCACACTCCAAGAAGCGGCACGATATTCTCGTGTCGACACGTGCTCAGCACCTGAACAACAAGGACACGCACAAACCACGCCCACAAGGCCGGAAGGACCGAGGTCGTATCCCGAAATAGCACGCACGCCAGCGAACAGAAAAGAGGGTCAGTGTGCTGGTAAGCGGGTGGGAATGTTCGCGTTGCGCATGCGCGCACGCGCTATACAAGGGAGCACAGAAACTTTAGGGTACAGCAGAAGCCGTAGCGCGGTGAAAACCAAGGAGAAGGTAACGAGACAGAAAAACATGCAATAAACAACAGACAGGAAATGGAGTGCACACATCCCGTGCCTGTGCCGGTCTTGTGTCCCGTCTGCACGACCAGGACTTCCGCTTACCTCCACCTCCCGAAAGAACTGCTCCCGCCCTTGTAGTCCTGTCTCGTCCAGCTTCTTCACGGCAACGGGAAGGCCCATCATGCTGCCGCGGTAGACCTGCACATACATATTAGCCATCGTGCGGAACGTCGAAGGAATGAAGGAGATCCTTGGTGCGTGATGTAATTCCTAGCGCTGCTGCTGCCGCTGACCCGCCGCTGCAGCTGCGGTGGCAACCATCCGACTGGCCGTAAAGGTCATGCATGCCGTACTCTTCCCCCCCGCCTCTCGAGTACCCGAATGCCACCGTACCACCTCACTCAAACGGAATCTACACGCAGATGACCATAACCTTGCCCATCTTCCAACACGGCGCTCCATAACGATACCTCCAGCAACTACGCCCTCCCTCCCTCGTCTTCAAAACCTTATCCGATAACCAGCACCGAACTACCACCCACGCCTGCTACCCGAGGCCCCGTTTTTCCTCCACCTTTCCAAACCCTCCCTCTCCGATGCAGCGCTTCTGGTCAAAGCCCCCGCACGCCTCCCGCACCGCCGGCAGCTGGTACAGCCTAAGCGAGGCCGCGGAAGACGACCCGTCCTGCTGCTGCCCTCCCTGCGGCGGTGCCGCCCCCCCCCCCCCCCNCCCTCCGTCGACAGGAAATCCCGCAGCTCCTCCGAACCCCGGTGCTCCCCGCCCGCTCTCGGGGGCCCGCCGCTGTCGCCGGTCCCGTGGCGGTCTCGGCCCCCGCCGCCGCCGCCGCCGCCGCCGCCGCCACCGCCGCCGCCGCCTGCAGAGGACGAGGCGCCGCTAGCCTGACCCGCTCCGCCGCCGCCGAGGGGGACAGGCTTGGTGCCCGACCGCATGTCCTCGTGGAGACCCAGGGCCGAGTTTAGGAGGTCCATGGCCTTGAGGCACGGCTCTAGTCCTTCGGCCTTGCCCTTCGTTGTGCGGAGTCGGTGCGCGTGGTGGTGATGTTGTTGAGGGCGAGACGAGCGCGTAGGGGAAACGAATGTGTAGTAGGGTGCCTTCCCAACGCTTCCTCGGGGGGGGGGGGGATA